TGATTGGCTTAGAGCAGTGGTATTTTACCTTAATTTGAAATACCTACATGTGAAAATTACAAACCTTTTCCAGGTAGTAGTATAAACAAATAATAGCATGATTTGTACTTGATATTTGGCACAAATACAACTCATGATATTTCAAAATTGTCTCAAATTTCACTTGCCTAACGGCTCGTGAAATTACGTATAACAATTTCGAAACATCACTCGTGGTATTTATGCCAAATATCACTACTAATCATGCTATTACCTATACTAACCCAATTACAACCTCTTATTACATCCACTTTGAAATCACTGGTTAGCCGTGCAATATGATTGGCTCTCAGCAGTGTGATTTATTCCTAAATCGCACCATTTTTTGCTTTAAAACGCATCTGCTCCAAATCGCGTCATTCATGTTCTAAATCGCATCATTTCCCTTTTAAATCGCACCATTTTTGTTCTATATCGCATCATTTCTGTTTCGAATACAAAACAATTTTGGTCTGAAATCATACTTGTGATTTCAAATCGAACTCTCGCTGCGCGCTCGTTCGATTTTGAAATCACGCGTATGATTTCAGACCAAATTTCACTCCACTCAGTTCAATTACCATTATTTATCCGGTAAGTCTAGGAAGCTTGAAATTAAGGATAGTGGTCCAATTTGTCTGCAATTCACTGTTGAGGGCCTCTTAAGAGAGGGATTAAGTGCCTTCCACTGTTGATTGTTGGCTCCTCTCTCTCTCAGCAAATTCTACTGTTCATAGCTAAACAACAAAAGTTAAGTGACGTCACTGGGGGAGAAAGATAGGGCAGTGGAAAGAACACACAGCTTTTAATTTACATATAGGAAGCTCCAGTTTTTCTTATTCTCCATAACAATAGAAACAAATAGATAAATGAAAAAAGATAAAACATTGAGATTCTTTCTAATTTCAAATCGATGTTAAGAGCATTTCGTAATGAGTGGATATAATCAACCGCCCTCAAGAGATTGTGGGTAAACGGGTAACCGTTATTGCTGCATTATTTACATTTTTGTGTCTGAGTTGTAAAAACTGCCTTTTCACTCATTCCACGTTAAGTGGGTAAATTGTGCCAAGGATTTTAGAAAAATCGAAGGTCAACAAATCAGACAAGTAGTTAGTTTAACCGAAAGATGTATTCTTGAAGGGTTAGAAACCAAAATTTGGTCAACATATCTTTTATCTATAAAAAGTTATAGCCTGTTATTTAATAGCATGTAGTGTGATATTTTGTATGGCTTGAAACAGCACAGTGTTGCATTATAGTATGTTTTTTTCAATTTAGCATACTATAAAATGTTTAAAATGAAATCCGTGGAAGGCTAAGGTCTGAGTTTTACATTTTAGTCAAGACAGTGGCTCAAGGAATGAAAAAGTCAAGTTGTTCTGCCTTGGTGTACTTTGGTCTGACGTAACAAAATATTGAGAATTTAAAATTGCTGTGTTTTTTTTAATGTTTTTTCTTTAAAAAAGCCGTCAGACTAAACATTATTTTGCTTAATGTGAAGGAAAGAAAGTGTTGTTTACCTTTTTTATAGTTTGGAAACATGTGATCTAGTAGAAAACGAGTGATTATCAAATAAGTTTCGGTAACGGAAGTTACAGAAGGAAGGTAATATTTCATTTCTCTTCCAACTACTTACTTTTGGGATTACAGACCGTCTTAAATAACAATGCATATGACTTATTC